AATTTGCGAATTTAATGAACACCCAAGTGATGCTGATTCTGCTGACCTGGCGGACGCTGATCAAGAACTATTGGCCTAGGATTTCTTAGCAGGCCTGTGGCTCTCAGGTAGCAGGAGGAAGAGATGCAAACTTTTCTTCTTTGGGCTGAAGTGGAGGTCAATGATGAATGGTCAAGGGGCCTGTGGTCCTTGCATAGGAGGAACCAAGAGTGATGATGCTCTAAGATCATCGGATGAGGAACCAGGAGTCCTGGGGTGTGATCCTGCCCCTCAACAATATCATTGCATGGCCTCGGGGGTCACATCTGCTCTCTGGGCCTCAGTTTACCCCTTCGTAAAAAAAGGACTTTCCTGTATGTGTTACAGTTTTTGCAACAAAAAGCTTTTAAAAAATAAAATAGGAAGACAAAATGAAGGTGGCAAAGGTGGAAGAATCTCATGCAGGCACCACAGCATCCCCAGAAGCTGTGGGTTAGCATCTGACTTGGGCATCAGCACGACTTTGATGTTAACCAGCTGTGAATCCTGGGCAAATGGCATATTCTTGCAGAGCCTGTAAGTGCGATAAGGAGACCGGCTTGCGAGGTTTCTGTGAGAACGGAGGTAATTGTGTAAAGTGTCTGGTTGATAAGTGGCAGCTATGGTGACCAATTTTGCTTTTTTTAGTATCACGTCAAGGCTTGGGGGATACAAAGGCCACTCTTGACTTCTGGCCAAGATGGAGACGTAGGTAGATACACTTTGCATCCTTGCACAACCAAAAGAAGGACAACAACAAATTTAAAAACAACAAATAACCAGAACTGCCAGAAAACCGAGCTGCATGGAAGTCCAGCAACCACCTACGGGAGAGAGGTGGCTAGGGTGGCCCTGGCTGCATGGCTCCCTAACCGCGTGCACGGACGGAGGCGGCTTCCCCTGACTTAGGGCGGAATTCCATTTCGCCTCTCCTGAGTATGTCAGCGCCCAGCTGGCCGCTGTTCCTGCGGAGGGTATAAGAAAGGGACCCTCTGGGTGTATTTCAGGGAAACATGTGAAGTGCGCAGCGGAGCAGCTGGCACTCAACAAATGACAGCCACCTGCTGGGCCCCCTGAGCTGTGACAACACTGTGCCTGCCACTGTGTCCCTCAGGTTTCCTGGCCTCTTGCCTGTCTCAGGCTGATACTCTTACTTCCTTGGGGTGGGGAGACTTTGTTGTCTCAATCTCCAGCCACCTCCTCTTCCCCTTGGAAGGCTGAGCAAGAGAGGGAGATGGCTGGTGCGTGCGGGAGGGGCTGCGCTTCTGCAGGTGCGAGGGCAGGTGCCTTGGTTTTGAAGCCAGGGGGTCTGGCCCTACTCTAAAGTAGCTGTGTGACAGGGGCAAGTCCCTTTCCCTCTCTAAGCCTCAGTTTACCTAATGTGTATACTGGGGTGAACATTGGGCTGGAGACTGTCTCCCAGAACCTCTAGTTCCAGCTCTCTGGGTTTTTGTTTGGCCCAAAAGAGAATGTGCTTCAGGCCAGGACTGCCTTCCTCCTCAGGGGGGTGCTCACTCAGACTGTTCCCACCTCCAGGCAGGGGCTCGGGCACTCCTCTCCCCCTCTCCTGTGGGCTCAGCGCAGACCCACGTCTGCCATGGAACTTTCTCCTGAGCCCCTCTCTCCCTCTCCTTCCGAATCGCCATATGCTGGGTGACCTTGCCCCTTCATGCAGAGCATGCCTCTCTCTCCCTCTCTTTTCTGGTCTTCAGGCTCTCCCACGCACCTGTCATACCTTCCAATTGGTTGCTAACTGTGCAGGGCAAACTGCATCTCTCCCTCTCCTGCCAGGGCCAGGGACCGAAAGAGTGTTGGGTGAGTGTTGGCTAAGTGTTGGATAAGGACGGTCAGTGAGAGAAACACCCAAGCCATTCTCCCCTTGTGTGGAATCCCAAGGCGAGCAACTGGGACCCAGAACTTGCCTGTTTACAATGGCCACCAGCTGATGCTGGTAGATTTCTTCGCTTTGCCCCCGTTCTTCTCCAGAGAAGGGATGTCCACCTAGCCATTTTCCCCACCTTCTGGCCCAGACTCTGAGCTATGTTCCTGTGTCCCCTCTTCCTAACAAAGGCTTTCTCAGTAGAAAAGAACTTGGACATACAATACTTGCCAACAAAAGCAACCATTGTAGCCCCAGGGAAGGGGGAGGGTAGAGAATCAGAGTGCAGTTTTGCTCTCTGTTTGCCAAGACAGGCTCCAGGGAAGGCTCCAGCCCCACTGCTCACGAGTCAGGCTCCTGGGATCCCAGCTGTGATCTGTCCCTCTTGACTTACCAAATCTGAGGAAGCAATTGGCTGAATCTGGGGAGGAAGGGCTCAGGCCCCTGAGCTGAAAGTGGAAAAAAATTCCAGAAAGCTCCGAAAGTAGAACCTGAATTTGCCACGTGCTGAGCACTATACTGAAATCCATGTGAATGAAGTGATGTGCGGGCATATCCAGCTGTAGCCTGTATGCAAATATAGATTACATGCATATACTATGCCATTTTATACAAGGGGCTTGAGCATCCAAAATTTTGGTGTGAGAGTCCTAGAACCATCGCCCGAGGATGCAGAGGGGATAACTGGATGCTCTCACATTGCTTGGAATGCTGTGCGCTCTGCGTTTCCACAGGACCCTATAGAGTTTATGTCTGTGACTCCAGTGATCCTCATGATTTTCCCTTTGACAGAGACATGCTGCAGCCCACAGGGAAATGACTAGCCCTCGGTCACATGGCCTGTACTTGGCAAAGTCCAGCCTAGAACAGTCTCCTGACTGCTAACCTTAGTCTCTCTCACACTCAGCACTAGACTCTGGGTTCTGATCCCAGCTCTGCTATGAATGAGCTCTGTGACCTGGGACACTTCACTTCAGCTGCCTGAACCTGCTTCATAAATGCACAGGCCCTCCAAATCTGCGATGTTATTTCATTCATTCCACAAGCGCTACCTCTTCGGAGTCCCTGAACCTGGTGCTGGGGCCACGAGGATGAAGACTCCAGCTCTCTGCCCACAAGGCAGGAGCATAGGCTGAGCCCAGCGGCTACTGGGCGAGGGAAAGACATGTGGGGAAAGAGATGGGGGAGGAAGAAGGGAATGGCGGCTGCCTGCTTCCTGGAGGGAGAATGCACACGCTGCGTCCTTTGTTTTGAGGCTTTTACCTCTCTCTTGCAGGCGGGAATCCTAGGGGAGGTCTCAGGGGAGGGTTCAGCAGAATATTCAGCAGTTCTCCAGGTGTGCCCTTTCAGGGTCATGGTCTCCTCTGATTGGTCAGTGACAGGGCAGGGGTGTCTTTGGTTGGTTCTGGTGTTGCCCACCTGGTTTTGCTACTTTTCTGGGCCTGTAGCTGAAATACAGCCGAGGCCTAGATGTTATCTCCAAGGAGGAAAGGCCAGTGGGAGGAGAGGTTCCCCTGAGGGTGGGGTCCTTGTTTTCCCACTTTTGTCCCCTGCCAGTTTTGACCATCTCACCTGGCCTGTAAATTGCTTGGCCAGTTTGTTCAACTATCTGTCTTAGTTTTTCTATTCTACTTGCCAAGGAATTTTCTTAGGTTCTTACTATCCTGTCTCACAGGCAAGTGTGTCAACTGGGATACCTCTCCCTGGGAGAAGAGGGCAGGAACCCAAGTCCTTTCTCAGGGGACTCAGGGATTCCCAAGAGAAGTCTGGTTAGAGAATTTCCATCCACAAGTTGGCCTCCCTTTAAGAAAGCCCTACAACACAATGTCTGAACTCAAAAGCAGAAAGATTAGGGGTCTTTATACACTTTACACAAAGATTCTTTATTCTACAGCTCTTTAAAAAAAAAAAAAAATCTCCAACTCCCTCCTCTGAATCTCTTGAAATACAGTTCATTTGCAAATCATTAGAAACACATTTATAGAGTAAAGCAGGAGAGCAGAGCAGGAGTTGGGCTGTTTGCCTGACTACTGAACTGGCCTTGGCAACATCGCAAAACCAGCGTCCACTCTCATCTCTCTGGCTCTTGGTTTCTCCCACCTATGGCTGTGTGACAGGTGCTGTTGGTGCCAGAGGTGGAAATAGAGGACAGTTGTGTATTCAACACCGACTATGTGCTATAATTAACACCCATTTTACAGATGAGGAAATGGAGGCTGAGAGCTAGGGTTTCAATCAGAGCTACCTGACTGTAAAGCTAGGGCTCTTCCCTCACCTCGCTCTGCCCTAACCTTTTTGATTGGGACCCAGCCCAGTTACTCTGTACTTGGGGCCTAGGAAGCTGTAGTCTGTAAAATAGGTAGATCCACGGGGTCCGAACGGCAGTGGGAACATCCCTGACATTCTCTAGGGAGTGCTCTCCGTCCCTCCACTCAAATGCAGTCGGACACCCCTTCTGCCTCGTGGCTCTGGAGAGCCGTCCTCCGGTCAAAACAAGAGGAGCGGAGGAGCCAGGGAAAGCGGCTACAGGCTGTCACTTCAGGGGAGCCCGGGCGGCTGATGGGACCCTCGCCCAAGACGCTCAGAGCCCGAGTTGTGGCTCCGCGTGGCACTTCCGATCCGGCGGGGCAGCATGCAGCTGCACTCCCCAGCACCGCGCCCCGCCCCCGAGCGCGCTGCGCCCCCAGTTCCGACCCGCGCCCGGCCCCGCCCCGCCAGTGTGCCCACCCCTGGCCCGCCCCACCGCCCCACCGTCCGGCTCCCGCGAGTCCCGGGGCGTCACGGCGCGGGCAAACTGATCCACCGACAGTTGGCACCGGAGGCGATGGCAAGTCGGCTGCTTCGCTCTCCCGCCGGCAGCCTCGGGTGCCCGGAGCCAGCTGTCCAGTCGGCGGCGCCGCTCCGGGGACCGGGAGCGGGAGGGCGGGAGGAGACCAGGCGGGAGGAGACCAGGCGGGAGGAGGCGGCGGCGGCGGCGGCGGCAGCGCCGGCGGCGGAGGCCGGCCGGCCGGCGCTCAGGCAGCCCCGGGTGAGCACTAGCCTCTCTCGCAACCCGGAGCTCGGGGCTCCGGCGCCGGCCCGGCCCGCGTTTCCGCGTGGCCACATGGCTCGGCTCCGCGCGCTGCTGTCCTGCCTGCTGCCCCTGCACTGCGCGCTGTGCGCCGCCGAGGGCAGCCGGACCCCAGGTGCGTGCGAGTCGGGCGCGCGGGAGCGCGTGGGGTATGGGGTGCGCGCGGGTCCGGGAGATCCGACGGTGCAGAGGAACTGGGTAGCGCGAGTGTGGGAGTCGGTGCGCGCAGCGGGTCTAAGCTCTTGTCTTCCCCTGTGCCACCGACGCTGTCCCGCAACTTGTCTAACTTTCTGGCACAAAACGTGAAGAGAGACCCCAGAAGAGGCTCTGGGAATATGGAGCCTCCTTTAGGAGTTGCACTTCTGTCTCTTTGTGTTCCCCCTCGCCCCCCCATCTCACTCTCAGTGTCTTCTCTGCCTCCAACTAGTATGCACGTGCGCGCCTGTGTGTACTTGTGTGTGTCTTTTGCACACACAGAATCAGGCTGGCAGGTGGTTACCCTACACCCCAGTGAACACTGCTGCACAGAAATACACTTCTCTCTCCACAGCATTGTCCTGCTCTGTGCAAACACCCTGCCACACACAGACCACACGCACTCCACCGTCACCTTGCAGTGTGAGATGCCCTCCTGGTGGCTCTGAGCATGGGGAGGTGGCTTCCACAGTCTCCAGGCAGGGTGGTTGCTTGTCTGTGAGCTCTGTTCATGTACCAGATGGATCCCTCTAGCTGAAGTCTCGGGGTTCCTTGCTCTAGTGGGTAAACCAGAGGAGAGTTGGCTCTCCCCCGCCCACACCTGCCTTGGACATGGGGGATTTTCAGGACACATCATTTTCCAGGTTTTATCAGTGCTGTGAAGGGGGCTGGGGAGGCAGGAGATAGAGCTGTGTGGAAATGAAAATTCCTCCCAAATTCGTATCCATGAATCACCAGGCCTAGAAGCCAGGGAACTGTCATTTCTGCCTGGCTTGGCTTGGGCTTGGGGAGAGCTGTGTGAGGACGGGGCGCTGGCGTGCAGCCTGGAGCATGGGGCCATGACCTCACACTTAATTCAGTCTGAGTGAGCAGGTCACCCTGTGCATCTTGTTTTATTTTTGAAGATCTATACTTACCCAGCTCGGGGCTGGGCCATGTAGAAATCTCAGCAGCCACCGTGCTGCTTAAAAAAGTTTTCTTTCTAAACTTGGAAAAATATAGAACTTGTATTCCCTCCCCTCCCTCTCCAGCTCCACCTTTCTCCTTGACACGTGCCCAGGATCCCCTGGGTTTCTAGGTGTGTTTGTTTTCCCAGCTGCGTTCAGGGAGCTTGGCAAGGAGGGTCCTACCCCAGGCTGGTCTGGTGACTTCAGCGCATTGGGAATGTTTGGGCAGACCCTCTCTGTGCCCTGGGGCTTTCGGGGAATGTCAGTGCTTTCCTCAGCAGCGCCCAAGGTTGGAAGGCTTGTTGCTAGAGTGACAGGACTCTGTTTGGCATCATTTGTTTTCTTCTGCTAAGTTGAAAAAGCACCTGGGGACTCCCGGAAACAATTTATGTCCACAAAGTGCTTGATCACCATTCATCCCGGCATAGAGATCCAGGGGCTCAGGAAGCAGGAGATAGAAAATGGGTGCACTTGGGCTAAGGGCTCCCTTCAAGGTGACACTCACAGTTGCAGATCACTCCCTGCCCCAGTGGGATTTCTGGCTTTCCCTTCCCTTTGCACAGCCTGTACTGAAGTGACTGTTTGTTTACCTTCAGCAGAGCTGCGCCTCTCCGGAAGGCTCCGTGACTATGGTGTGACAGTGCCCTGCAGCACAGATTTTCGGGGACGCTTCCTCTCCCACGTGGTGTCTGGCCCAGCAGCAGCCTCTGCAGGGAGTGTGGCAGTGGACAGGCCACCTGCACCACCCTCCCACTCAGCTCACCTCCGGGTGGCCCGCAGCCCCCTGCGCCGCCGCAAAGGAGCCACCCCACCGCCTGGCCGGATGGGGCGCTACTCCCTGTACTTCAATGTTACTGTTTTTGGGGAGGAACTGCACTTGCGCCTGCGGCCCAGCCGGCGGCTGGTGGTGCCCGGAGCCTCTGCAGAGTGGCAGGAGGACTTTCGGGAGCTCTTCCGACAGCCCTTGCGGCAAGAGTGTGTCTACACCGGGAGTGTCACAGGCATGCCGGGGGCAGCTGTCGCCATCAGCAACTGTGATGGATTGGTAAGGGTTAGCCTTTCCTCAAGCCTCATTTTGCCCCTCTCTCCAGGCCCTGGCTAACTCCAGTACCCGAGGCGGGCAGACCTGGTTTTCTCCTTAGCTCCCCTGTGTCTGGGACTCCTGTGGGCAAGCTGTGTGGTCTGGGCTGTGCTGCTTCCACAGAGAGCCCTGCATGCCCTAGTGGCACCAGGGTTATGCTCTGCCAGGTGGGCAGAGGCCCAGCTTGGATGATGCCTTATCTTGTTCATGCCCTCACCCTCCGCCGACACATCAGGACCACAGCTTACCTGGCGGGGGTCTCTGAGCCCAGACACATGCAGGGGTGAGTAAGGCAGGCTCTGCTGGGATGGATTCTTGGCTGTGCTGCTTACTAGCCACGAGACTTTGGATAAGTCCCTTACTCTCCCTGAGGTTCTTTCCTATGCGCAAGGTGAGGATTTATTCATTCTGCACATTCTTACTTCGTGTGTCCCCTCTGCCCGGCTCTGTTCAGGCTCTGGGGGCTACAGCAGAGCCTGAGGCAGACACTGTCCCTGACCTCCTGGAGCTGATGTGCTCGTGATAATCATGTGACATATCTCACTGGGCAACACAGCTGGTGGTGAGTAGGTCAGCACCTGCCTGGCGTGAGGTCAAGCCTCTGTCAGTGTTAGCTGCTATTATCCTTACTGTTATGCCTCCCACTGCCTCTGGTCCCCGAAGCCAGCCTGCTCTTTTCCAGTGCTCTGCTCTGTGAGTTCCTTTCTTACGATCTGCTGCCTCCTCCCAGCATCCCATTGCAAACCAGAGAGCGGGGAGCGGCTTTTCTCTTTCTCATGCTCAATTCCTGCTCAGTCTTGGTCCCTTCACTGCCCCTTCCTCAGTGTGTCAGGCCCTCAGGAGCCTATGTGGAAGCCTCGGAGCAGTGGGCACTCTTTTTGTGGTCTGTACTTAGTCAGATATGAGCTGATGTGTCCCAGGAAAGGACCTGCTTGCCCCTCTGCCCTTCACCTTTGCGAGTGGGATGAGTCGCATGGGGGATGGGAATGGGGGTCTTTCCTTACTGGCAGGGCTGGGAGCTCTTCTCACCGTCCTCCCATTTCACAGGGGGAGCGCCGCGCTGGCCGCTCCTGGATCTGAGGGTCACTGTCCAGAGCCAGCTGAGGAGGGAGCAGGGCTCTGAATCCCGCAGAGCCTGTCGGGGGTTGTCACGGATGGGGGGAATAAACACGAGTCCCTGCAAACACTTCCCTGTTTGCCAGGAGAGGGGACATGTAAGGATGCAAAACTCATAAATCAATATCAAAAGGCTATGTTTACAGAAAACAAATAGAGATCATAGATAACAATTGAAGGAACAGAAGAGATCTGCCTCAGGTCAGGGCCTATGAATAATGTAAATCTCCTTCCCACTATGAGCGAGTTATCATAGCTTTTGAGGGAAGAACAAAGCATGCTTAGAAGAACTTAATTCTAGACCTGATTGTCCCGGGGAACTGCCTGATCCAGTTTAGGGCTGTACCTGCCTTTAGTATTGTTTCAAGCCTGAGCCAGGCCGGCAGGGCAGAGCCGCCAAGAGGTAAGGAGACTTCTTTCAGATAGAATGAGGACTCTGGCCATGTCCAAGCAGAGCTGAGGAGCGCGGGCCTTTTTGTCTTACTCCGGGTGCCCCAAGTCCTTGTCTGCTGCCATACCGGCCTTGTCTGTCTTAGATCATCCCTTCCGTGAGGAATCTTACCCGTCATTGACTACCAACCATCACAGGGCCGAGCAGGGTGATGTGAGGGAGGCAGGGGCTGTGCCCTGCCTAGGGGACAGGTTTCATCTCCTCAGTGGCCTGTTTTCCCAAGGCCTCTTTGATTATTTCCAGCCGTGGGGCCCTCTCATCTGTTGGTGAGGCTACAGTCCCTGAAACCAGACAGGGCGTTTCCCAACACTCCCATCCTTCAGAGGTGTCTTACTGCCGAATATCGTGGCTGCCTTTGTCAAGACCAGTGCTTCTCAATCTTTCTTTCATCATGCCCTCCACCCCTGTGGCCAAAGAGCCTTTTTAAACATTTTTCCTAATTACCACCTTCATAAAATTTTAATACCACAGATATACTGAATATATGCTTATGAACTGTATGTGTATCTGCGCTTCCTATGTAAAGAATAATTTTTTTTTGCCTTCCAAAGAACCAGATATTGCCTGTTGGGCCCCCATTGAGAGGCGTGATCTTAGGCAGCAGTTGGTTCTCAAAGTTGAGCATGTGCTGGAATCCCCAGGATTGCAGGGGTTCCGGGGAGCAGACTTTGAGAAACCCAGGATGTAAGGACAGCTGAGAAGGCTAAGACCTTGTCCTGGGGCCCGGGTGAGCCTCGGCTGCAGGAGGAGTCCTCAGTCAGCCTGCGGGCTAGCGCTGTGCTGTGGCCCTAGATTTTGGTTGAAAATCCAAGGTGATGTTTGGGATCGCCCAGAGATGAAGGGTCCTGGCAGGTGGAGAGAGAAAGCGCTGGTGCAAACTGGTGGCTTGGCTGAGTGACGTGAACTCTTTCTAAAGTCATCGGCCGTGTAGGCTGTCAGCTGTGCAGCGATGGGGCTGGGTCTCCCGCTGCTTTGACCGCCTCTGTAAATGTGCATTGGGGACCTAAACAAAGGCCTTAGTGGATGGTCATCACCATTAATAAGCAACTGTCCACACCCTTCACACCCTGAAAACTTCCGTGTCATTAAATTAGAGCAGCAGCCTATTGATAAGTGGTTAGTGACCGTTCGGTGATGCAGGGATTGGGCTCACAAAGGACCCTGACCCCAGTCTCAACACCCATGAAGCAAAATCACATGGCCACAGTGACCAGCTCTCCTCCGGTTGTTCGGGGTGGGAGGCTTCTTGGTGGGCCTGGGGCCAGATATCGCTCAGCCGATGTTGCTGACTTTTGGAGGCCTCTCAGTAAATGCTCTCATCAGCTGTGCGACCTGGGCAAGTCACAGCCCATTTCTGGGCTTTATTCTTCTCATTTGTCCAAAGAGGGACTGCATTTGATACTCCCTGGCAGATGGAAAGCGATTCAACGTGATATTTGCAGAAGCCGAATCAGGCCTCGGAGGCTGCTCTGTGGATGGGCTTCCCTCCGGAACGGAGGCTCGCCTGGGTCCCCTGCCCTTGTGAGGGGTGAAAATACACCTCACAGGGCTGAGCCTCAGGTGGGGCCCTTGTTTACGCCAGGCCACTGCTTGTGCCCTCAACTCTCTCCAGAGGCCTGTCCCTCAGTCTAAATCCCAAGGCGCCTCCCCACCCAGGGTCCTGACAGGGGAGGCAGCCCAGCGCCGCGACCTCTCCAGGGCAGAGAGTCGCTCACTCCTGGCCCATTTCAGGCACCTGCCCTATGTGGGTGAGGGGCTGTTTACAGTGACCCAGCTGAGCCACCTTTGGACTCAAGGGCTACAGTGCAGCATTTCAATGATAAGGTTTAACTCTGCACCTTCATGTGGCCTCTGGATTTTAACCTCATTTTCTTTAACAACTCAAAAGCCGAAGTCATTCGTTCCAAAGAAAAGATGTACTGAGCATGGGCTGTGAGCACGGCCCACAGGGAGATGGAAGAAAATGAAAGGGACACAAATAGTAACAACAAGAACAGGAATGAGTCCCTCCCACAGCCCAGGCATGGCACGCGTGCTGTCCCAGCACATGTACTGTCATGTTCCTTCATTACCTGAATGAAGCTGTGCTGTGTAGACGGGGAAACTGAGCCATGGGGAGGAGACCTGAAAATAATGCAGACAGCTTCCAGTAGCATAAGACTTTATAGTTTTCAAAGCCCATTAGTCATGTGCGCTGTGTGGGCAGATATTGTTACTACCCCGCTTTGCACAGAGTCAGGTCTCTGCCCTCAAAGAACTTGGGTGCCAAGCTGTGGGGATCCCAAAAGTATATTCACCGTTACCTTGTTGGTTTTTCAGAACACAGTGGGGTCTCAGTAAATGGGATTGATTATTATCTGTGGTATCAGAGAAGATGATATTTGAAGTGGGCCTTGAAGGATGAGTAAAAGTTTGCCAGGTCTGGAGGGTAAGGCAGAAGGAAGAGCTTGAGCGAGTGAGGGAGGGGGCACCGTGCTGGATGGGGCCGCAGTGGCGGGGGGGTCTGAGGAGATACACTGGGCGGCGGGCCTTGGTCTGACCGGGAAGGAAGGGTGGGATGAGAGAGGGGGCCCAGGGCAGGGGTGCAGTGTGCTGCTATCTGAAAAGAATCTGGCTGGGGGTTGGGAGATATGGCTGTGTGACCCAGGGCAAGCTGCCTGCCTTCTCTGGGCTTCACTTGCCTCCTAGGTATATCGCAGAGGCGGAAATGGACGAGCTCAGAGCCCCTTCCAGCTCTGGCATTGCACTTTGTGACACGGGGCAGGGGTGTGAAGGCCCTTGTAAACCCATAGTTGACTCCTCCCTCCCCATCTGTCTGGGGGCCTGCTCCCTGCTGGGACTGGGCTGGGCTGTAGGTGCAGAGAGGAAAAACGCCAGTCCTGAACTTGGCCCTCGCAGCCGAGCAAACCTGTCAGTTGTAAGACTGTCTGAACAAAGCCCTCTTGCCAGTCTTGCAGCTGTGTGGCATTTTAGCTGCTCTGGTGAGAAGCACTGTCTCTAAACTGGTGGCTTGATCCTCATTTCAACTGGAATCTGCACTGGGGGGCAGTGGCCATCGCCCCTTTCCAATTCTGCCATCAACCGCACCACTCACCAGTGAGCTCCTGGCACAGACACTGAGAGGACTCTCTGCACTGTGGTTAATTCACGCCTAAAACTGAGCAATGGGTACTTGGCCTTACTTCCCACCTGCTCTCCTGATGGGTCTGGTGTCACAGCTGGGGGAGGGGGTTGGGAGGGATCCAGGACTGAGGAAGCCAGGACCCCTGCCCTGGATGAGTTTGTAGGCTAATGGGGGCCCAGATATAAAAGCTGACAAATTAAAATCTTGTGTGGGGCAGCACGGAAGGACCCATTTGTTTTGGTTAGGACATCCAGGAAGGCTCCCCAGAGGAGG